CTTATCTGGCTTCGTCAGAAAAAAAAAATATATATATATATATATAATACTAAATAAATTTAAAATATTAAAGTTATTTTATCTCGAAAGTTAATTTTTTAAAAATTAGTAGTTATTAAAATAAATTAGAATATATTTTGAAATGGCGTCAATTTGAAGTTAATTCAATATTGAAATCTGAGAAATTTGTATGATAAGTATTTCAAAATTATGCTACTTACCACCTCTGTACTTTATTGCATTATTAGATATATCAACATTATTTCCATTTACGAAATATGCCAGAAAGCAAAAAATAAACCAGTTACAACCGACCATTTTAATTGAAAGGAAGCCAAAGAAGGACGAGAATCAGAATCACTCCACCTGTTTTTTAAGTAATTGTTGATAAATATTGATAAATTATTGCATTACTTGAAACATCTGTAGACTTTACTACATATCGTAATTAGAAAAAAAAATTGTTTGACCTTCATCTTGTGTTTTGATAATTGTACATTATCAAAATATTTAAAATTAAAAATAATTTTAAAAATATTATAACTACTATTGTTATAATTTAAGTTATAACTACAGTCGACCCTTATAACACTGTTGATAATTCCGTTTTATATGAATTCCATGTTGTACGAGTCACTTAGTTTTTACAAATACGTGTGCCGGGCTGTGAACGGCTCACGTATTTGTAAAATATAAGTGACTCGTTCAACATGGAATTCATATAAAACGTAATTATCAATAGTGTTATGGTGGGTCGACTTTACTTAAGTTATCATTAATATAAAGCCAAAATAAATCTGTAGTTTAAATATCAGGGCCAGATTTACGCAAACTGAATTAGTTATAACTTGTTTATTTTTTTATTTTTGTCTCGATGCTCTGGGTATTAAGACCATTTTAATCGTATTCATTGCTGGTTCGGTTAGGCCCACAAAGGAAACGGCCAAGTGATGAGTGATGGAAAATGACATGTCCGGAACGAAGAATCCATGAAAAATTTTTAGGTACTGCCCATATCCATCCAGTCATTTGTTACGAGAGTCTAAGCACTAAACGATTTGTGAGATATAGTTTAAGGCCTTCGTTTTGGAATTTATTACTTGGTGGAGCAGCTGAACTTCTTATATGCTTTAGCATAGGACTACAAGTCTAAATTAGACTCTAACTACTACATTACTTTCTTGAAAGAAGGAACAATCAACAGTTCTTATTCTCATTAAAATTATTGGGCTCCAATTTGAAAAAATTGTCCCTAAATTGTCCTCTAAATTCCCTAAATTGGGCTGTCAGTCCGTCTGTCTTTCCTTAATCTCGAGAACGGAGTTAAATAAATAAAATTCAAGACAACCGTAGAAAGCTTAGGGGCAGGAGGTCATGATTAACTGTATATGAACTTCTGATGCAAACATTATTTTAATTCAAAATTTTCCCCTGAAATAAGGATAGATGACCGGCACGACTCTATTGCTAACAGGAAAAATATGATGTACAGGGGACAAGACACTGTTAATAATTTGAGGTGGAGAGCATGAGCATACATTTTAAACTAAATAAATTTAAAAATATGATAAAAAGAAATAGCAGCCCGGCATTGTGAAAATGTGACAATAAAATAATTGCTCGTTTTGTTATTCTTTTCTTGATTCTATATCTACAGAAGT